GGGGGGGGGGGGGGGGGAGGGGTTAAGCATTAAGAAAATTAATGAAAAACATTAAAATGGCAAAAGGAGAAGAAAATCTAGTACAACGGGGCATCGAAGGACGGGGTGATTGGTAGCAGGTGAAGCTTTCACCATCCAAAACCGCCCTCACCCATTGTCATCCGTATTTATAACCCGCATACCGGAATAATCTATCTAAGCCAGTTTTACTACTAGAGTATGATATTCCATAAACTAGTAAAAGAGGAAGAAGAATTTTTAACTAAGAATGCACACCTTTCCTGACATCATATCAATCGAGACGATATGGGAAACTGTTTGTTGTGAAAATATGACAGGTGCATATTCATCTTGATCAGGAGCAGGATCCAAGTTTGCAGGGATATAATCTTGCGCTAAAGTTTGGTCCTCGGATTCCATTTTCTTGATTGTCCACCCATGCAGCTTCTCAAACTCTTCTCTCTCTGAGTGACGAACCCTTAAAGCATAGGCAACACCACTTGTAAGTGGCCTCTCAAAAGCTGTTCTCTCGGTATATTCTTCAAAAGTTTTCTGTAGAACACAAGAACATAATATCATAGTTACTTTCAAAGTCCAAAGACAAACTCATACACTCTTTCAACTGCCCACTTTATCATGCTTTAACCTTTTCTCATTTTGTCATTTTTTGGCGGTGGGAGAGGGGGTGGTACAGAAACTTTGTCTAAATGATAGTTTCTGTTGATTTATTTCATATATAAAAACTGCAAGTTGCAGTTCCTAGTATAACTATTCCAGTTCACTCATTTAGCACGAGTTCTCTGATCGGATAAAGAGCATACCATATTGCTACAAAAAAGCCTAAGCCTGCTCCCGCCGAAGAGGGAAGGGGGCAAGGAAGAACACATATGATAAGAGTCAAAGCTAAATGAAAGATATAATCATACCTGGTCTATCGCAGAAGGTTGCTTTCCGTGGTGAAATGTGGAAACAAGGATAGCCAATGCATGAACATGGTTCATGCTTACGTTGAACTGGTCCTGCAACATTCGCGCTCGTTCGTCACACATGCTTGTCAGTGTTTCTTTCCTTCTCAATGCAATGTCTGCATTCATGTACCAATACAACCAGATGGCACTGATCACCCCAGCAGAGACAAAGATAACAAGAAGCTTTTTCCTCCACTTCCCACCAGTTCGAGAGGAAATCCGAGCTTGCTGCTGCTGCAACTGCTGTAGCGGATGAAGTTGTTGAGACAGTGGTTGCTGCTGAACGAAGCTGTGCTGTTGATTTTCCCCACATTTTGTACACAACTGAAGCATCTTCCAGCTGACCACAATCCCGAGAAGGACCCACCAGCATAGTTTTGTGAAACAGAAGGCAATACTATTACAATGATCTGGGTTATGATTCCCAACTTCTCTTATTTGTGATGCTTTCTGATATAAATGAACCACATAAAAACGGGGTGAGCGATCTAGATAATCACAGGGTTTACCAATCCAGCAAGCACTTCTTGAGGTTTAATATTCTCATTATTCAGACCACATGTTGAATACGCAAATTATTTACATGGAGAGGACAATTGACACATTAGAACAAAAGCATGTTGGAACTTCTTGCCATATACACATTAGTAGTAGTTAGAGTGCACGTGTACGTACAAATATGTGTACTAAAATCCGGATAATTCCAATCAGCAAGTCAGCCTTTAAATGATACAACTACTTCCTGGCCATAAAGTCCAATGTACAGAGAAGTAAGAATATACAGAGCCCCAATTAAGTAAACTATTAGTTTGTGCAAAGACTTCATGAACATAACCAACTAAATCGAGATGGAATTTTCCTCAACCGCAAGGCAAAGATTTTAAAGATCAATTTCTAATCACTCATAAGGGCTCACCTTTTGAAAGAACTGAGGGTCTGCTGAGACTAGTGAAGATAAACGATGCAAAACAAATGGCAACGACTTGTCATCTAGTGAAATGTCACTATTTCTCAGTGCATCCTCATCTGGAACTGGGCACTGGCCTTTTGCTTGAAAGTTCTCTACGGCCATCTCATATTGCTGCTCGTACTTCAGATTCTCTGAACCTAGCACCTTGAGAAGGCAAGTAATGGTAGTACTCATAGGCATTTCCTGCCCAGGACCTTTTGAGCATTTCAAGGATGAAATCTACACAGTTAAGATCACTGAGGTCAATTATATAAACAGAGATATCTAATCGTTAAGCATAAGAAAGGGAACAGCATGAAAAGATGACCTCTTTTTTTCTTTTCCCTTCAACAACTATTTTCTTTTTGATAATTCAGAAATCAAATATTAGAAAAGTCTCTAAGGTAGTACCGAAAAAAAGGAGCAGTAAAAGTGACATTCAAGTAATACAACACGTCAAGCCATGCTTATCATGTTATTCCAGAACTTCAGGTTACATTTCTAAAGCTGCCATCCAAAGTAGAAAGCAATAGCTATATTTCCTATGGCAAAACTCCCTTCATTAATTTTGCCCATCTCTTTTCTACTCACTCATCTCTTCTCCCTTTTCCCCAGCCAAGCCTGAAACGTTTGTTTTGTATATGATGTTAAATTTACAGGAGCTAAGGTGAGTGCGCTTATGAGTTCCAAATTTACTCTACAAACTAGCTAACTTTAATGAACTAGAGGAAGTTCTCAAAGATACCTTCTGAAGGTGTTTAAAGTATTTGATTTTTCTAATCAAGATGTTAAGTGAGGGATATTTATTTTGAATTTTAATTTCTGCCGACAATTTTTTGTTACATGTTGGAATAAGCAAACAATCGGTGGCTTCAGAAGGCAATGCAATGCAACAAATTTTGGTAGGTCATTAGAGACATGTTATTACCTAAGACCTAATTTTGGTTTTTCACCTTTTAAGGAAATCGCAATTCCAAACTGCTTTCCCATTTGCAAAAATGAGAATATAACCATAAGAGCCACACCATTACACATTAGCAATGTAGGAGGGGCAAATTCCAGCTGCATATTGATTTACGGAAGGAAGCTTTCTTCAATGATTGGAATGCCTATAATTGGAGTAAATCTTTTACGAAGTATCAAACACTTCCAACCAAGTTCAAACATTCACCTTGCCTATCTGATCTACAGGGTGCTAACTGAAAAATGAAAATAAGTGAAATTTCAATGAATAAAAGTGAGTGTGTCTACTTAACTCCATGCAAACAGTAACAAACAAAAGGCAAGAAGAAGGAACAAATTGACGGAAGGGAAATGCTGGATGCCCACATCCACGATTATACCGGGAGAACTTAGGAACTCTTTTCCCAATTTGAAACCAGCACCTTAACAAATACCAGCACCTTAATAAATATGAATAGCTTGCGGGTTTCCTTAAAATGCCATAAGGTTTCACTCAGATGAAAGACTCTCAGCAGTTAAGATCAAACACGGAAAGTCTGCAACTTAACCCCATATAGCTAAATTTTTTTAAATGTAATTGAATTAGCTCTCACTACATCTGCAATCTTCTAAATTTTCCTTCTCCTTGCAGAAAATTTTACTAGTTGTGACAGAACAGAATATAAACATAGCAGCAACTATTCAAATGTCAAAAGAAAAGGACATCAAAAGCATTCAAAGTAACTGCAGGATACCTGATCTTTTTCAAAGAATAAGGTAGCTAAAGCTTGAATTTGCTGCTTGGTGACATTGAAATGTTCTAGAAGAAAATAAGATTTATCTTCATTTGGTTCTGAAATCTCCTGCTTCCAACTATAAACCACACCATTTAAGCTAATAACCAACCAAACAAATCCAATTCCAAAGAAAATGAGCCACAAAAACAAAAGCTTTCTTTGCCAACTCCACCCACAATTTGGTCCTTGCAAAGACTCTTTGGCTTTCTTCAGCCTAAAACTTGAAGAGAAGCTTCCATTCATTCCCAACAATTTGCAATTTATTGACATCTTTAATAAAATCCACCTACATATCTTCAGAAAATGCCTTGACAGCTTAAGAGCAAAGCCACTTAAAGCAGAAAAGCTCATTAAAAGTCAATGACCCTTTCAAGAACAACCCTTTATCTTCAATAATTGACCTGAATTTCAGTCAATTCTCTACAAACACAGCTCATAATTTCAAGAAAAAAAGCTGAAACTTATTGTTTTCAAGACTCTTCTGTAAACCCCACCTCTGAAATTGGCTAAAAACAGATTCTTGAACATAAAAAGATTGAATTTTCTCACTCAAGAAGCAATAAAATCCCATCAAAAGCTAAAGACAGCAAGTGGTTAAAAAACCCAGATGTTATTTTGGCAAAGCTGTAATGAAATCACTGAATGGAACAGAAAAAAGAAGTTTTTTTTTCTTTTCTATATTCAGTTCCCTCTGAATTCTTTCCTATATCAAGCTCCTATTTTCACCCAACAGTAGCACAGTAGAGCAGCAAACAGAAAAAGCAAAAGAAGCTATCAAGATCAAAACTTTTTGCCAGAAAATCTCATAATGGATAGAAATGAGGTAAATCCCAGTTGTGTTTCACTGCAAACACAACTGGAATGAATGATCAGTTTGTTTGTGGGATAAAAAGAAAGTACCTTTATTTTCTAAAAACAACCTCTCTCTCCCCTCTCTCTCTCTCCTGAGTTTTTGGTGTTTGAGTATATGCTGTTGAGGTTGGAGTACATCATTATCTCATCATCCAAGTGGGGAAGGTTGAGAAAAAAAACATACAAAAGCAAAAGAAAAAAATCAAAATCATCACATATTTATCATTTGCACCAAATTTAATCATAAAATTAAGCATTTCTTCAGATGTTACACTTTACAATACAAATTTGTTACATCATTTCTTGTCTAATAATATCTTTGCCTCTATAAGGATTGAAAATGACTCAGCCATTTACTGTGTTTTATGATGCTTCATTTGTTCACTATCACTTTTCAGTTATAATAATATAATGTAACCATAACTACAGTTACTTATTTTAAAATATGGAAAGATGTTGTTTTTTTCATAATAAACTAAAACTAAAATTGTGCCATATAAAATGAGAGAAAGGAATACTAGTTAAGATGGAGCTATAATATTAAGTACGGTCCAACTAATCCAGTAAATTTTGCTTAAATTTTATTTGTGTATTTGTGCTATTTGTAAAAGTAAATCTCTTTTTTTTTATTAGAAAATTTATTATATGAATCTAATAACTAACCTACATTAAATTTGAGGATAAAATCAGAATTCATAAATTTTTAATTTTACATCCGTAGTTACTACCAATTCTCTAATTACATACTAGGCTAGTAGTAGTAGTAGATATAGAGTGGGAGAGGGAAAAACAAAAGAAAAGAAGAAAGAAAAGAATGGTTGTGGGAAAATGCCAGTTGGTTTTGGTTCAGTTCACATGGAGAAGAGGAAAAGAAAATAGAAAAGAAAAGAAAAACAGAGGTATCTCTGCTTTTGATAATACGGCCTACGACCTAAAGGGAGCTAACTAGGAAAATCGGCGATTAATCGGCGTAAAAAAGTAAGGCTAGGTGCTAAAATGCGCCACTTACTTGACATGCTTATCCTACACTTTATTCTTGCAAGGTAATTGATGATGTGGGCATCCCATTAGTTGTGTAAAGTTGGGTGGGGTGGGGTTGGAAGGGGGGGGGTCGCTATACACCTCACTTTCCCAACCCCAAATATACTCTTGTGTCTAGTCTAAAATTAAAAAAGGAATATTAAAGTGTTAAAATAGTAAATGAATGGTATGCTAAATAGTGTTAAATAAAGTTATAAAACTAATTATTTATATTAAAAGCCATGATTAGTTTGACCATCATTAGACGATTCCTTGTGATATTAATAAATACAAAAATATTGTGCATGGTTTGTCTAATTTGGCTTAGGTGAGTTTTCTCTCCTTGAATTTGAACGAGTCATCTGTAGTAGAAATTATTCAGAATTGTTTATTATAATAGGGTAAGCTAGTTGATGAATATATTCAAATGATTATACCTTTTGATTAACGACAGATTGTGAGTATAAAATTGGATCGAAACCAACAAATTTTGAATATTATCAACACCCATTTGAAAATATAAATTAGAGAAGGATATGACGTCAAAAACTTATCTAGCTAAAATATTTCTTTGGACATATACATAGTGAAAGTGACAAGGAAATTAGAACAATTAACAAAAAGAAACTTAAATACGTGATATTGTGATCAATAAATCAAAGTAAGTATAAATTTTAGAGATAATAGTTCAAATTTTAGTAGAGACAAAAAATACTAATTAATTTTTCTTATCTGTCCAAGCCTCATTATAGAGTTATGTGTTACCCGTAATGATAAGAATAACAATTACCGCATAAAACAATCAAGATAAATACAAATTCGATAAAATATCACAATTATAAATAAAACAATCAACCAAAAGAAGAAAAAAAAAACTCAAAATCCTACAGAAGCATAGTTTCGTACCACTTACCAAAATAAACAATATAAATGGAGCATTGTTTTCTTTTTCTTTTAAAAGAAATGACGAAAATAGATGGGAATTATGATGTAACATCCTAATATCATGACACATTAAAATGGCAATTTGTGTGATTTTTGTCTTTTCTCGTGTTCGCAAAGTCGTCATCAAATGATGATTATAAATGGGCGTTTGGACATAAGATTGTATAATTCCGGGAAAAAGTAAAAAAAAAATTCAAGTGAAAATAGTATTTGAAAGTTAGAGTTGTGTTTGGACATGAATATAGTTTTGAACTATTTTTAAATTTTTGTGAGTGATTTGAAGTGAAAATTTTGAAAAACAGTCTTTTGGAGTTTTTCAAAAATTCGAAAAATTTTTAAATTCATATTCAAGTGAAAATTAAAAATTTCATGGTCAAACGCTGACCGAAAAAAAGTGAAAAACTTTGTATGGCTAGTTAGGTGAATTTTCTCAAGCAACAAGGATGATGAGCGTCTGTTCTATACAGAATTATAAGTTCACAAATAAATAGAAATTACGAAATTATACGTTTATTAATTCATGTGGTATTAGTGAGAGGTTAGAGGTTTGGAGATATACTTTGGAGTCTAAAGGTTTCAAGTTGAGCAGGACTAAAACAAAATGCTTGGAGTGTAAGTTTAGTGGCGTGACTTAGAAAGAGGACGAAGACGTGAGGCTTGATTCACAAGTCATCCCTAGGAGAGAAAGTTTCAAGTACCTTAGGTCTATTATACATGGGAAAGGGGAGATTGACGAGGATGTCATACACCGTATTGGGCGAAATAGATGAAATGGAGGCTCGCTTTCGGTGTTTTGTGTGATAAGAAACTACCACCAAAACTTAAAGGTAAGTTCTATAGAGCAGTGGTTCAACCGACTATACTGTATGGGGTGGAGTGTTGGCCGGTCAAGACATCTCATGTCCAGAAGATGAAGGTGGCGGAGATAAAGATGTTGAGGTGGATGTACGGGCATACCAGGTTAGATAAAATTAAAAATAGAGCTATTTAGGACAAGGTGGGTGTAGCACCTGTGGAGGACAAGATGCGGGAGGCGAGACTTAGATGGTTCGGGCATGTGAAAAAGAGAGACAATGATGCTCCAGTGAGGAGGTGCGAGAGGTTGGCATGAGAGGGTCAACGGAGAAGTAGAGGTAGGCAAAATAAGTATCGGAGAGTGATTAGGCAAGATATGGCATTGCTCTAGCTCACTCATGACCATAGATAGAAATGTGTGGAGGTTGAGAATAAATGTAACAGGTTAGGTGCCTAAGTGTTGTCCTTGTCTGTAGCACTAGCTTTGATACACCACTAGGTGCCTTCTGTTTTTTTTTTTCATGCCCCTAGTCTTCTGTTACTACTTGTTGTTGTCCTGTGTTTCAGTTTTCTAATTGTATTACATTTGGCTAGTTTTGTATTTTTGTTTTGATTGTCATATCTGCTTGCTTGTTATTGCTCCTCCCTTCCCCACTTTTTGAGTTGAGGGTCTATCGGAAACAACCTTTATGCCTTTTTTTAATAGCACTTATAAGGTATGCGTAAGTTCTATCATCCCTAGACCCCAATTGTGGGACTACACTGAGTATGTCATTGTTGTTATTGTTGTTGTAATTACTCCCTCCGGTCCACAATAAGTGACCAATTTACTTTGAGCACACCCATTAAGGAAATACTAAATTCTAGACGAAAATAGTTAGTGTGACTAAACTACCCTTCATTAAATGTTGCATCATAGTTATAGTACCACTTACTCCGAAATTTTTTATTTTGTATCTCATACAACTGACACTAGTTGTATGAGGCAATTTTTTTGTCTCACAAATTTCTGTGGACCCAGAAGTGTAAGATTGGGGTTCACAAATTTGTGAGACAAAAAGGAGCCTCATACAATTAGTATAAGTTGTATGAGACACAAAATAAAACTTCTCCACTTACTCCCCTTCTCAAATGTGAGGAGTAAATGACTTTTTAGGGATAAGTACATAAGGGTAATTTTGATAAATTAAATTGAATTTTGTCTTGATTATATAAATGGACACTTATTTGGACCAAAATAAAAAAGTAAATTGGTCACTTATTGTGGACCGGAGGGAGTATTAAATTTGGGAAAGCTCTTCAAATTTTTTGCGTATCTTTAAAGCTTAATAACTTGTTTGGACATTGTCACATGTCTCATTGATCCTACCCCCCAAACTTACAACATGTTTCATAATGTATCATATTCTATAAATTAAGTTATTTTATTAAATATAATATTTGTATAGATTGTATTTTGCTGCCGTTTCGTGATGTCACGCACCAGCAACATAAAGAATAAACTTACAACATTACAAAAAAAAAAAATAGAATACATAAGGTAAGACAAATGATAAAATATGATTATTTAATAATAAAGAAGGACAAGATGAAATGAAAAAATAAAATAAAATAACGAAACGATCATATCAAATTAACTATTATGTAAAATAACACTTTTTAACAATACAATACACTAAAATTTAAGTAACAATCAACATAAATATCTTATTTGAAGTAGCAATACAACGCAATAAGTGAAGTATTATCAACGGAAGCTACGGATTGGTAAGTAGATGTCATTAAGCAACAACCCTTAAATGATTGAAAATACTCAAGCCAAGTTTAGAATATCACTCCATTTCACATGGTAATTGGAAACTTAATAAAGCCAAAATAATTACTGAACTATTATATATTTCTTACGTAAACACGTTAGCTGTGTTAATTTTTGCCACTTGCCAAATCTAAATAGACCAACCAACTAATCAACTCCCTTAATTAACCCTTAATTTCATGATTAAACATTTAAAACATGGAACCATTATCTATATGTCAACATTGGTGAAACAAGAGCATTTTTTCTCTATAGTTCCCCAGACCCTATATATGGAATTACACTGAGTTTGTTATTGTTGTAGTTGTTCACTTATGACTTCAAGTACGGTCCCATTAAGTGGCGGAGCTAAAAGATCGAAAGGGAGTTCATCCGACTCCCTTTGTCAAAAAATTACACTGTATATCTAAGGTAAAAGAAAAAAAAAACCTTTTGACTTCTCCGCATATTTAAGTTTTTATTTATTTTTGACCCCTTTAATGAAATCGTAGCGGAGCTAGGGGATCGGAAGGGAGTTCATTTGACATTCTTTGCCGAAAAATTACACTGTATATATAATATAAAAGAAAAAATCCCTTTGACTTCTTCGCATCTTTAAGTTTTTTTTTTTACCCCTTTAATGAAAATCGTGACTCCGTCGCTGGTTCCGCTCACCTTCATTGAGCTCATTTCTTAACATTTCATTGGAAGATATAAACTTCATTGTTACTTTAGTATAAAGTGGTAAAGTAGTGGTAATACA